GGGAGCACAGTACCCACAAGACACTACCCAGACGCTGACACCCGAGAGGACCTTCTCACTTGGGGGTGGGAGGCTCCTGTAAAAAAGTTCCTTGGTGGTATAGGTACACCCCATTTCTGCCCCAAATACAATGGTGGGTGGTTTCCTCAGGCAATGTTTTCCTTCTCACAACATCCCCGTCTTAGTTACCTAGTGCTGCTATAACAGAAATAGCACAAATGGGGGCTTTAACACACGAATGTCTTCTCTCAGTTTAGGAGGCTAGAAGTCCAAACTCAAGTGCCGGCTAGGGGAAGGCTTTCTCTCTCTGCCGGCTGGGGGGGCGGGGAGGTCCTTGTCTCTCTGCATCTTCTGTTCCTTGGGGATTTTCATGTGCCCTGGCATCGATCTTCCCCAAGTCTGCTTGCTTAAAACTGCTCTTTTACATCTCAAAAGAGACTGAAGACACACTCCACACTAACTCTGCCCCATTAACGTAACAGAGAAAGCCTATTTCCAAGTGGGATTATAACCACAGGTATGGGGGTAAGGATTTATAACACATATTTTTGGGGGGCATGATTCAACCCATAACAGTCCTGTAATACAAGAACACAGCATCCCAACCTAGAATGGAGAGGCTGTGAAGCCCACATAGCAGGCCCCCCAAGCTTCCCTGTGCACAGAAATCCCTGTAGGTGCACAGGAATCCCTGCAGTCTTGTTAAAATGCAGATTTTGATTCTGTAGGTCTGGATCTGGGCCCCTGGATGATGCCCAACTTGTGGTTCAGGATCAACCTTTGAGCATCAAGACTCAGGGAGCCGTCCAGGCATATGAATGTTCACAAAGAGCCTTTGACAAGCCTGGAGAGCAGGCGCCGGGAGTGAGTTTTCTGATAAGAACTGGTGTGTTGCAATCAAAGGCCAAGCAAGCCACACAATTGGGCTGACTTCCCTAGAGACATCCACAGGCCCGGCATGGAGTCTGCAGTGAGGGACCTGTGCTTCCCACGGAGGGGACCATTTCCTCAATGGGCCCAGATGGGGTCCTCCTACACCAGTGACTCTGTCCTTAATCTTTTTCTCTTTGCAAATGTCTAGAATAATTTGATTATATTTTTTCTTTTTTATCTATTGTACAACTGAATTTGGTCTTCTAAGTTCATAAATTACAAATGTGTGAAAACCTCCCAAAAAACTCCCTGGTTGGGTCATTGAAATCTTTATTTTTTAGATATTAGGAACTCAGCTCAAATCCATGAATTTTCTGTCTGGACAAATCTTAATAAACTCAGCCATTCCGCTCTTATGACAGAAGGTACTGGAGTCTCAAGGACCGATAAAGGAAACAGAACAACAAAAACCCAAATATGACACCTCCTCAAAAACATCTAATGACCCGGGCAGTTTCGCCAGTCTTTAGAGACCTCTCTCTCTGCAGGGAGTGCACCCACTGCCAGGAGCGACAGCCACCAGATAGCCAAGGAATGGAGCACTTGGAGGGACCCCCGACATCACATGGGTGACAGCAGCATATTCAAACCATGAGAAAACCGAGGGACCATGCGGGATGTCTGGCTCCCAACAGCTGGCTATGTCTATCCCAACTCAGGAGGGTCTGAAAACAGTGTCCACCCTGCATGTGTGGGTTCTCCCACCAGCGTCCTTCTGCCACCCGGGGGAGGAGTGGGTGGTGGTGCAGAAAAGCTGTTCTGCAGTTTCTGAGCCGAGAGCAACAGCCCAGGTCACATGAAAGGCATCACACCCCACAGAGGAACAAAACAGACACTCAGCCAAGATGATACTGAACACTTAACTAAAACCTCATCTTCTGAAATCAGGCCACATTAAACTGCCACGGGCAACACTAAAGCAACGGACAACATGCCGCGGCATTTCCACTCACATTCTTCGGGTTTCATGGGGAAATGGGCTCAAGGTACCCGCCTGCTGGAAATCTGGACTTTAAAGGTGCCATCAACAGGCTTAAGGCTGCCAGATGGGTTTGGCATTTCTTGAGCCAATCTTCTTTGGCTTCGTTCACCTCCATGACTTCACAAACACCCTGATCCAGCTTTTACATCCTGTTATTTAGCCGACAGAGAAGAAGGGCCTGGAGATCTACTTCTGAAAAATCAGCCATCAAAAACTCTCTGGAGCTCAGCTCTACTCTGACACACATGGGTTCGCCATGAGTCAGAACGGACTTGAGGGCACCTGGTTTAGTGGTTAGCTGGCACAGGACACCTGTGAATAGGTTCTCATCACCTTAGAGATTATGACGGATCGAGGCTTCTTGCTGTCCGTCCTGAACTGCCCATTTTAGAGGACAGGGCACAGGTGAGCAATCAGAACACTGTTGAACCCAAAGTCCTTTTTGGTGGTTCCTTGTCGTGTGACTACCAAGCCGAAAGTGGCCTGGTTCCTCTTTTATTCCAAATGGAGCCTTTTCCTATGGCTCCACCCAGGAGAAAAAAAGCACGGTTCACACCAAGGATGCAAAGACTCCAGGCAGGTTGGGAGGACGGCACGATCGTCCAAGTTCACTCATGTCTGGAGAAGATGTCCAAGCACTCCTGGTTTCCCACCATCTCCACTGACCTAGGAAGCCCCTGACAATCATCTACATCCAGGCATGTCCACCCTGCTTTAAGCTTGTCTTTTGGAATTAGATAAACTTATACAGTCTTTTCCACTACATTCTGAAAACTGCCTTTACTCAGAGAAGCAATAAAATCAGAGTAAAGTTACTATTTTGCTCAGCTGCAAAAAATGATTAGAAACCAAGGTTATCGTTAACTCCATCAAAAAGGCAAATACCAGCTTCCTCAAACTGCAGTGTTCTGGGTAATTCTCCAGTGAGCAGAAATCCAGGCGTAGCTTGTGAACAAGCAGGCATTTTAACTCAGGACTCGTTCCAGCCGAGAGTCAATAGATGTCTTTGTTTCCCCAGTTTTTATGCTGTTTCATTACAGGTTCTGTTAAAAATGCCCCAAACACACTAAAAGCTAGGAGACTCGTGGAAAACAGCTATTGTCTCCCAGAAGCCATGACAATCCTTACTCTCTGCTGCGTGTCACGCTTCTAACACTCTTTCAGCGTGTTCCACTGTTTTTTCTGTACATCAGTCTGAACACTTCATACTGGCCCATCTTCCAGATGGAGTTTTACTAATGCTTTATCTCTGATTTGTGCTTACAGCACCCCAATCTCTTAAGTTTACTAGGTACCGCAGGAAAACTCAGCTGTTTCTCCAAGGTTTTTGACTTAGTCTTTGGTAACCTACTCCAAGCAAAAGGAGCCCTGGTGGAGCAATCTGTAAGCGCTCAGCTGCTAACGAAAAGGTTCGAACCCACCCAGCAGCTCCATGAGAGAAAGACCTGATGATCTGCTCCTGTAAAGATTTACAGCCTTTGAAATCCTATGGGGGCAGTTCTACTCTGTCACGTGGGGTCAATGTGAGTCGGAATTGACTCAATGGTCCATGTGTGCGCACGCACAGATGCGCAAAACCCCAAGCAAATAAGGAGCCCTGGTGGCGAAATGGTTAGGTGCCTGGCTGCTAACCCAAAGGTCAGCAGTTTGAACCCACCCAGCGGCTCCTTGGGAGAAAGACCTGGTGATCTGCTCCTGTAAAGATGACACGTAGGGTTACATGAGTGGAAAATTCAACCTGATGGCACCTACCAACACCTCAAGCAAATTAAAAATTCACCAAATGTCCTGAAGAGTGAACAGCTGTGTGTTCTAGCCTCTGAAGTCTCCACTTTATATCCCTCTAGCCCCATGGAAGCACCAAAGGACCTGCAGGGTACCAGGTCTCCCAGGAGGGGCCTGCCCTGGCAAAGCCTGGACCTTGCAGCACCCAGATCAGCAAACGCCCCAGAAAAGGCAGCTGCAGATCACCTCTATGCGGCTCTCGCCTCCCCCGAATCTTAGTTCCTCTAACCCTCTTTGCTTCAGGAGCTCTCTGGAGCTTTTAAAGACTCGGAATGTACCATCTTGTGTAGTTCTTAGCACAACCGTGACTCTGCCTCAAGCCACTGTAAGCCAGCAGCAGAAACCTGCATGCACTCACCCCATCTTCCCTACCGTTTGTTACAGACACTCACGCGTCCTGTGAACACTCCGCACACTCTAGATGTGGCTGACTGCTTAGTGAGCTGTTGGCCTTATTTCTGTGATTCCCGCACTTCACGTAGAGCCTTAATTATGCGCATTTTCTGCTGTGGCTGGTACTGCATGCCCACTGTGCGCCCCCTTGTGCTGGCCCGGCCCAGCTGCACAGGACCACCCTGTACAGCTCTTGCCACTGAGCTGATTCCAACCCACAGTGACCGCATGGGACAGAGGAGAACTGCCCCACAGGGTTTCCAAGGCTGTAATCTTTACAGAAACAGACTGTGGCATCTTATTCCCGCAGAGCGGATGGTGGGTTCAAACCGCTGACCTTTCACTTAGCAGCCAAGCGCTTAACCACTGCGCCACCAGGACTCCTTACTGCCCTGTATACTGTTGTTTATTCAACCAGTCCCGCTTTACTGAACACGTTGATTCCATTCTGCCATTACAGGGAGGGCCCGTGGTACAATTTGCATTCATACCTCAACGTTTAAAACTTGCATTGCCACTTTCTCACTGCTAATCTCTGGACTTCTGGGATTTCCATCTCCTCAGTTGTAAAGCATGAGGTTTAACAACACGACACACCTATCAGGGTTAAACGAAACCATGACTTAACAACTGAAACTGCACATTGGTTTCTTCTTTGATAAGATTTTACCTACCTTTGTGGAGTCGGGGTAGCTGAGCGACAGCATGATCAGCGAGCGCTGCTGACTTTTCAGCTCTGGTGCTAGGAGAGCAGTCTAACCACTATCACTCTTTCATATAAGCACCCATTTCTGAAATAAACTGGAACACATTCAGAGAACACCCAAAACAGCAAGGACTCAAGATTACTGTTTATGAGGAACAGCGGTAGGAAGAAGGTATTTATTCCAAGAGAAGAAACGGGGGTGAGAAGATAGTTGCTTCTGAAACGTCAGAAGGGCAGTCACTTGTCACCAAAGCACCCAGGAAGGAAGCCTGGTTCATCCACACGAAAACCGAAGCCCTATCTGCAGAACAACATGAGTATGTCAGCCAGTAAAATACATTTAAAATGAGCAAACACAGGAAGCACGCAATGACAACTATACAGGTCGTTTCTGTTTAATCAGGAAATTCCTGTCTTAAGAGATGTTGACACACTACAATGAGTCCATAGAAAGAAGGCCAAGAGTGACATTTCCAGAAACTACCTTAGATGAAACAGTGAATTCGATTAAATATTTACTGAACAAATGCAGAATGGAACGAACTAGGGGGTGTGTTAACCCGCGGAGACAATACCCAGGTTCAGACGTTAACAGCAGGGTCACACGAGAACGAAAGCTTCATCCCGAATTTCTCCGAAAGGCAGGCCCTGAACCAAGGGGCGACCACGAGCAGCCCGCAGGCTGCAGGAGTCGCACACGCTCATCTCCACACCTCTTTTCCAACATCACGTGCCGCCCCCACCCTTCTCCTGCTGACAGGAGCTGTCCCAACTTAAGACTTCTCACCAGCACCTCAGATGAGCTGCTTTTCCTGGGGGGCCCTTCACTACCAGCCATGGGCACACTCAGGCCACCAGGAGAAATCCCGTGGACAGCCTGGTTTATTGAGGACACGGTCTTCTGTCCCTCAGCTCTATCCAGTATTTACATTAGTGATTCTCAGGAGGTGGGGAGGAAAAGAAGCATATTCTCCAAAGAAGGTGAATTCCCAGCAATGTGGCTACTGCCTTTCGGGGAAGGTCCCCCTCTAGCCCCAGACGAACCTGCCCCACTATCAGCCAGGGGCACAGACAGGGGTGCTGTGTGCTGAGGCAGGGACAGACAGTGGACAGCCGCTGCGCTACACGGAGCCGCAGAGCCACGCTTTACCAGTCACTGGGGAACACGCGGCAGCCACCTAACACTGATGGGCTCCAACTGTTACACATCACAGACTGAGAGCCCTCTCAACAACTAGTCAGCGTAATGTTTAGGGGCAAAATATACACAATACACTCTGTATTATATAGTATTCCATCACCTACTCAGTGAGGGATGCTGAGGTGCTTAATCCATTCAAACAATTAAAAACGAACATTTTACATTTCTCCATCTGTCAGCAGACAGGACTCTGAAGGTGGATCTTGAACTCCAGGTGGGAACTCAGTTTTCAAGGAAAGCCACGTAATCGGTCAGCCTGGCTAACTGCTGCTCGTTGGGGATTGGTGGGACCGGGGCAGGCTCTGCGGGTTGAAGAGAGAGACGCAGGTAAGTCATGCGCCAGAGTAACCAAGCTCTGGCCTTTCCTCCTGCCTCCCAATACCCTTCCTTTGAAGGAGGAGGAAACTTTCTTAGATTGCCCTGATTTTAGACATTTTAGGTCTCTTATAAAGCCTTGGTATTTTGGGGAAAAAAAACAAACAAAAAAAGCCTTAGAAGCCCCATGTTTTATCAGTACTGTCTTCCCAAACTGAGAGTAAAGGTACATCTGGTCTGCTGTCGTTACTGAAGTATTCCACGTGAAGGGTAAAAACACTTTTGACTTGTAAAGTTTCTTTTAAGAGGCAGCCTACAGCCGTCCTTAAAAAGGCCCCTACCCACACAACTTTAATTTAATTTGATTCAGCAAATAATTCCTGAGGGCCTACATGCATCAGGAAGTGTTCCAGAAGGGCGCTGCCAATGAAGAAGAAAGCACAAAGACCCCTGCACTCCATGAGTTTATAAGCTAGCATTTAAGTCACCACCGGTCAGCCTGGGGTCCCTTCTGAATGAAGTGAGACGCTGTTTCAGGGCTGTGTCACACAATACTGAAGGAGGCTCTATAGGGTGGGGGGAGGAGGGTGCCGCTGCCCCAACGCCAGCTACAGGGGGAGCCCACGGTTCACTCCTGCCATGGGATGTACTGCGAATGACTCATAATACTGAGGATTATGAACAGTAAAGACAGAGTTTAAACTCTTTGTTTACAAGGTTAGCGCTAAGAAAAACCAGATATACATTATAAAAAAGAAATCGAGAACTATGAAACATTTTTAAAATGAATGTATGAAAATACATACCCGACAGGGGAATAAACCTGTTAGAGGAAACATCCGCGGCTCCTGCAACTAAGTACACAGAATTCACAGTCGGATTTACAGAGAAGTCACTGTAAAGGACTTTCACACACAACATACCGTTATCTTTTATGCAGTCTGCGTTTATGGCCATTTTGTTTCTCAGACAGAGATGACAACTGTGACTTATTTACTAGTCTTGCTTCACTGCCTAGACTCGGTGGGACCCCGTCTTACCGCTCGTTTGTAACCTCACAGATACGAGCACACTGAGATTTGTGTGAACTTTACTATGTATTCAACAATGTCTAAAACAACAGGAATTCAAAGAAGGTGGAAAGAAATGTGGGCAGAAGTAGGTGCTTGAGGGCTCACAGGAGCGGGCCTGCAGCCCGGCAGCAGAGGGGGCTCCTGGCAGACAGGAGGACCAGCGACCAGAAGCAGTGGAGAGGGCCAGGCTCATCTGAGACAGAGAGAGCCTGGGGGTGGGGGTGGGGGGTTACTTATAATTAGGGCCATGGACACTGACATAAAATATCATTTAAACAAGAAACACAGATTTCAACATTACAGTGAAAACAGGCGACCTTTAAGAGCCTTCCTAACTCTTAGTCTATTATTTTCTGTCAACATTTACAATGTGAGTCCCTTCTATTTTGTAAGTATAGCAAACTTTGTATCAAATTATTCAAATTCAAGGCCTGAAAAACTGAAGCAATCTTACAGTAAGAGTTCAACGCCACAAAAATGGGTGAACAGCACCACCTACCTGGCTTTTTGGGCATGACCATTCTTGTGGTGGAGTCAGCTTGCCATCCTTGTTCTAATATGCCTGAAAATGTTTATTTAACACAAAAATGAACTAATAATAGAAATAATAATACAATTTTAATTTAACAAGGTCCACATTCTATCGATGACATTAATTGTATGGGAGGATCTTCATTTTTGGTTTAAGTTGTTACACGTACTTTTACTAAAAAGGTATACTATAGATAGCATTCTCAACCATATTGGTTTCTGAAATATTCCTGAAAACATATGAAAGCTTGATTTGACTCTGTAAGCGCTCGGCTGCTAACCAAAAGATCACTGGCTCAAACCCACCATCTGCTCCGCAGGAGAAAGACGTGGCAGTCTGCTTCTGCAAAGATTTACACCTTGGAAACCCTGTGGGGCAGTTCTGCTCTGTCCTATAGGGCCGCTATGAGTTGGATCAACTCAATGGCAATGGGTTTTTGGTTGGGTTAAAGGCTGGCATACTCACTAATAGATGACTGGTTTTCTACAAAGCATGTAATTATGCTATTAGTCTAATACTATTAAAAACAGACAAGGAAAACTTAATGAGGCCTTTTAATATTTACATCCGTAATAACAAACAATGGTGATGACAGAAACACCCGCTGACACAACTTCCTTTCGTGTAATCATCACGACGCAGTCAAACAGGGAAAGGAGCCACCAGTCAGCAGAGGGGTGGACTGGAAGGTGGGAGCTGGGGGAGGGGGAGGCCAGGACGCACCCCTGCAGTGCAGTGAATTACTTAGGATGGCCCTTCTAGCCAGAGTCTTTTTGAGTCCCACAAAATGACTGGGTAGGACTATGCAAACAAGGTGCCTGTGGCTCACCAAGGGGACTGGACAACTTGCTGCTAATGCAAATAAGGTGTGTGAAACCTGTGATGGTTTTGTGTCGACTTGGCTGAGCCATGGTTTTCAGTGGTTTGGCAGTTATGTAATGATGTAGTCATCCTCCATTTTTGTGATCTGATGTGATTATCCTCCATTTGTGATGTGTTGTAAATCCTAGCCTCTACGTCTGTTATAGCAACCCTGGTGGTGCAGTGGTTAAAACACTTGGCTGCTAACCAAAAGGCCAGAAGTTTGTACTTCTAAGACAGATTTGTTCATTCTTTTGGCAGACCATGGTATGTTCAATATTCTTCACCAGCACCACAATTCAAAGGCGTCAATTTTTCTTCGGTCTTCCTTATTTACTGTCCAGTTTTCCCATGCATATGAGGCCACTAAAAATACCATGGCTTGGGTTAGGCACACCTTAGTCCTTAAAGTGACATCTTTGTTTTTTAAAACTTTAAAGAGGTCTTTTGCAGCAGATTTGCCCAATGCAATGTGTTGTTTGATTTCTTGACTGCTGCTTCCATGGGTGTTGATTGTGGATCCAAGTAAAATGAAATCCTTGACAACTTCATCTTTTCTCTGTTTATCATGATGTTGTTTATTGGTCCAGCCATGAGAAGTTACACTCTTCATTTTCTTGCACCTTCATTTTACACCACTCGCAAGAGCTACATTGTAATCTGAGGCTCAGATTTGGGATTGGGATCACATGCTCGACTCTGTCCCTCTCTCCTCTGCCCTCCTCTTCCAGTAACTCATCCCTCCTGCCACCTGCCTTTGCCCTCCTACCAATAATCAACAAGAGCTCCAATTGTTCTTTCCTGGGCATCAGCCTGAAGGGCTCACCACTGCCAAACAGGACATGGACTCTTGACCGAAGGTCTTAAGCGACAAATGGGGAAAAATCTCCAGGGGCCAGGCCACGGGAACTATGACGAGATAACTGCACAGAAGATTTAAGAGGCTGCATCAAGGAGGAGCTCGAGTACTCACATGCACCACGGGTATGTGTCAGAGACATACACATCTGTCATTTCATAAAAATGGCAAAGGACTCATTTGCAAAGCTCTTATTCTAAGATGGCTTTAATTGGTGCCAATCTGGCAAAAAGGGCTTTAAAAGTAAATACCGGTCCAAAATCTCTTATCCACAATTCAGGAATCCAAAAAGCTCTACAAACCAAAAGCTTCTTAACTCATTTGGCGGCAAAACCTGATCAGAACCACTGTAGTCTATTTACAACCTCCGAGTATCTGCATGTGTGGACGAGCACGGGTTATTTACGATCTCCGAGCACCCGAGTGAGTGGACGTGCACAGATTTTACTGCAGACATGAATGGGCTTGGTTCCGTTTTTAGTTTTTTATCTTAAAAGAGATGAAAGGGAAGCAAGCAGAGAATTGGGGACCCTGTACCACCAAGAAAGCAGTGCCAGGAGCAGAGCGTGTCCTTTGGACCCAGGGTGCCTGCACTGAGAAGCTCCTAGACCAGGGGTAGACTGATGACAAGGACCATCCTCCAGAACTGACAGAGATAGAAAGCCTTCCCCTGGAGCTGACACCCTGAACTTGGGCTTGTAGCCGACTAGACTGAGAAAGAGTAAGTTTCTCTTTGTTAAAGCCATCCCTTGTGGTATTTCTGTTACAGCAGCACTAGATGACTAAGACAGGTAGTGCTGGCTTATTTTCTGTTTACAAGGAAAAAGGGAGCTAGAAATATGAATTGTTGGTCCACAATTGCTTCTCTGATCCCTTGGAACCAGATGTATTTGTGGAATTCAGACCTTTGTTTTTCAGAAGTCACAGTGAAACCTGTGAGAGCTGGAACTCGCCAGGACTGCCTTGCTGTTCTGGGTCTCACAAGTCTTCTACCTTGAACAGAGTGCAGCTTAACACTTTTCTATGGAAAATATTTGAGTTTTCCTTCTCTGACAGGTTTCTGCCCTACACAGTTTCTGGCTTTTGCAGGTTTTACTGTACTATGAAACATCTTTATGGAACGAGCTCTGGTGGTGCAGCAGTTAAGTGCTCAGCTGCTAACTGAAAGGTCAGTTCAAACCCACCAGCTGTTCTGCAGGAGAAAGATGTGGCAGTCTGCTTCCGTAAAGATTTACAGCCTTGGAAACCCCATGGGACAGTTTGACTCTGTCCTATAGGGTCGCCATGAGTCGGAATTGACTTGTCATCAATCTACCCCTGGTCTAGGAGCTTCTCAGCGCAGGGACCCCAGGTCCAAAGAACACGCTCTGCTCCCGGCACTGCTTTCTTGGTGGTATGGGGTCCCCAATTCTCTGCTTGCTTCCCTTTCATCTCTTGTAAGATAAAAGGTGGTATAGGCCATGTGCCAGGGAAACTCCGTTTACATTGGATCAGGGAGGTGACCTTAGTAAGGGTGTTACAATCCCACCCTAATCCTCTTTAGCATAAAATTACAATCACAAAATGGAGGACAACCACACAACAGTGGGAATCATGGCCCAGCCAAACTGATACACACATTTTTGGGGGGACAGAACTCAATCCACAACACTACCTTTCACAGCCTCTTCCACAGGAAGTCCAACGAAGGCAGCAAAGTCGTCGACGATGATGGAGGTGTACGCTTGGGAGACCAGGGCAAAGGCTCTCCCCCTGGTCGCGTCTGTGTGGGGAGTGAGGGGGGCAGACATTTTAAAAGACATAATCACGCGGTCTTCCTCGCCTCATTTATCACGGAGCAGCAAGACCGTATCAACCCAAAGATTTCTGTGCTTACAGATACAGATACATGGGCCTGGCTTGTAGGAGGTGTTTCAACATTGCTGAATCAACAAATACAATTCTTACATTGCCTCTCAGACCAAAAAATCTCTTAGATGACAATGACAATCTAAAGATGGGAAAAAAGTTAATATACACAAGACTCAAACTCTAAGAAAATTTTATTTAACTGTATTTATGTATTTGGGGTGTAAACTTTGTTTTTATTTCTCTAGGGAACGTAACACCTGAACACTCATGTGGAACACACAGCATATAATAACGTGCAAGCCTAGTTACTGATGAAGATCAAACGGAAAAGTGTTACTAAATACACTTCAATACATTCATTCACACACTCATCTACAAACACTGGAATGAATGATGCAGAAAACACCTATTTGCAAAATGAGCTGTCTTTTCTCAGGAGGGTCTCTAGCATGGGATCCCACCTGGAGGTATAGAACAAACCTTCCAACTGCAGCCCTCTTCCTAACGTCCAAGTCTGTACTGAACTCAAGAGTTCACTCAGGTTCAAAATCGTAAATTCCAGCCTGAGAGTCTAAGCCTCAGCAGGAAGGGGCTGCCAAACCCACCAGCGACAGAAATTCTTCCCTGGAAAGAACATCTCGGATTTTTCAGAGGCTTACCTACCCACATTAAATCAACTCAGGAAGGAAACGGTTGATAAAGACACGGGAGACAGTCACACCCAGCTGGCCCACCTGCCTGTCCAGTGTTCTCGTGGGAACACAAAGCTTTTCCATCCACTACTCCAAGTGCTCAGGAACTGTTGTGTATTTCACACTTAACAGGCAGGTGAACGTGTAAGAAACAGCCCCACGCCATACTGCAAACTTCTCACCAGTCCTGGCCCTGTCACTGGCTCTCAGACGGGCTCACACCTTCTCGTCTCCAGCCTCTTGGCTTCTGCTGTCCCTGGCCTGGACCGCCCTTCTCTCTGCTCGCTGGGGGACCACGTGTTACCCACTCTTCCCGTGGCTATCTGTGAGCACCCCTACAGCACTAAACCATGGCGACCTCTGCCTCTCTCTAAGTTCACAGTCTGAGTCACATGGCTTATTTAACAAGGAATCTTTCACCCCTTCTGGCATACTTTGTCCTCGCCACCCCCAATCATCTCAATTATATTCCGAACTTGACAGGTAGGACTGTCTTTGTACCTTTATATCCCCTAAGGTGCCAAGCACAATCCCCTCATGAAGCATGCACTTGGACAGCCCTTCTCCAGGCTCCAGTAACACTGGCCCCTCGTCTTGCTCCAGGAGGCCTCGGGTGAGAATGGCTACCCTGGGTGCCTCACCAGTTCTCGCTGGTTTCCACCAACCGCCCTTCAGTTAAACCATTCTAATAGGACTGAGACTAATTCAGAAAAGAATGAGATCTGAGAACGTGACTGTTTTAACTGGAAAACAAATGCTTGTAATAAATTAGAAAGCAAATACACTAAATTCAACAGTGACTCAAATCTGTTATGAGAATACCCCCATCACACTGCTTTATGGAGAAAAAAAATACATTATCATTCATGAACGGGGGGGATTTGTTAAGTCTCAGGGTATATTCACAAACACTGCAGGTGAGCAGGATAGTGCTTTAGAGCGCGGTTAAGCGCTCACACGTAACTCACTCAATCCTTGAAACCTGGGGAAAGTACTATTTCTAACCCTATTTACAAATCGGGAAAACGAGGCACAGGGCTCACCCCTAGTAAGTGACAGAGCCAGGGGGAGAACTCTGGAAGCCTGGCTCAGAGCCCAAACTCACCGTGTTCTGTGTACAGCCGTTCCCGGGTCTGCTGGCCCGCTTTCTAAGGCGTCCTTCATCTACAGAGACTCCACAGCAGGAGGGGCCCCGAGGAAGGAACACACTGTACAAGTGGGAGGCGTACAGTACAGTGCACAGTGCTGAGGAGTCAGGAGGACTGTGTCCTTGACCTGCCCACCAGCCTGCTGGGTAACCCTGGGAGAAAGCACAGGGCTAAACTAGATGCCTCTGACGTCCGCTCCTGTATAAAGAGGCTAAGGCCATTTCCTGGTGTACCTGCGCAACCTTACGGCACACTCCTCCTGCCAGCCACCTGCCCACCCTGCGCCCAGGCGAGCCGGAGCCCTGTTCATCGTGTCTAAGCCGGCAGCAAGTGCCGTGTCTCGTCACTTGCGTTGCTGTTTTATGTTGGTATGGCTTCACCACTCCAGAGGAATTCAGTGTATCTGAAAAGCAGTCTTTCGCCTCTAACCAAACCAAACCTGTTGCCATCGAGTTGATTCCAACTCATGTGACCCTAAAGGACAGAATAGGACTGTCCTATAGGGATTCCAAGGAGCAGTTGGTGGATTCGAACCACCAGACTTTTGGTCAGCAGTCAAATGCTTAACGACTGCGCCACCAGGGCCCCGAGTACATGGCGATTGTTCCCAATTTCCTGCTGACTGCCTCCTCCAGAGCAGGAAGGCGTGCAGTGAGGGCGGGACTAACTACAGAGATAAAGTAACAATAAGGGAATCACAAGATAAAACGAAGTCACTGTATGAATGTTCAGACAGCGGGCCAAGAGTGAACCAGGAAGATTGGACGCAAACATTGGGGTGGGGAGAGTAGAAGAAGAAAGGTAGCGGACCGGTTTCTACTGTGGGATTGGTACTATGTGGCACCAAGCTTTTACTCTTTCAAAGTAATTAACAAACATATTTGCGCATCTACACACTGAATGGATGAGTTACAAAGTCCAGAAGCTGGATACAAGTATACCCAGGATGAGGTCTACAAAGTCCAAAGCACAGTCCTTGCTTTCAAACACATGGATTTTTAAAATCTTAACCACTATCTTGAACTTATCAGAGTACTGCAAGATTTCATTTTAGTGGCCAAAACAAAACCTTCCACACACAGAGTAATTTCAATCTAGAATGAACAGACAGCAAGGCCCCTAACTGCCGACACACTCTCAAACAACGTGAAATGAAGGAGCATGCTTATACCAAAGTTACACCCAAATTACCAATCTGAAAAAGAATTCTGAAGGCTGCCCCGTTCTCTGCAGAGAGTATCTACCTCTGAGCACACCACTGACTCCCTTTGGCACTGCAGCAGCCGGGGAAGGGGTCCAGTCTACGCTAACACGTGACCACAATACCTCTCAGTGCTGCCATGATGGGCTGGACCGTCTCCGACCACTGGTGAGCGCCGATGGTCGTGTAGATCCCAGGGAAGTCTCTCTGCCAGATCCTCTGTCCCACTGACCAAATCCCTCCAAGTTCAGAATTTGCCTGCAACAAATATTATTGCCTTTGAGGACATTCACTGCAGATTTACCAACACTGTATATTAAAACATTAAACCAGAAATGATATTAAACTTGTTAGGTGTAACATTAAAAAACGCAATTTAACATTCCTTTCAAGAAATAAATAACTTTTACTTAAAATAACTGATAGAAAGATTTTTAAACATTATGCGCGGTCCTATAAATTTCATTTGTACTTTTGATATACATTTTTATTGTAACGGCAAACTAAGGCTTGAGAAACAGTACAAAAACATTTCAGACTTAAGCCTGGGAATTAATTTTCTTATTTTTGTTTTTTAGAGTGTTTTATTTCTGTTTCATACACACACAAACAAAATACAGACAAAATACCTCTATATGTATGCACATAAAGTTTATGAAAAAATTAAATAATACCAAAATGGCTAACACAGACACTAAGTTTAAGATAGCATACACTGTAGCTTCTCTAAGGACAGAGTTCTTGCTAGTATCATTGAAATTACACGTATTATTTTAGCCAATGTAGTGGAGGAACATTCCAACTTTAATAGGATGTCTGGGAAAACACGACAGAGTAAAAATACTAATTTGATATGCTGCTGAGCATCTCCAACACACACACGAGTTCCGATGAAATCCTGGTAACATTCTGAATGTTTTAAAAATTCACTTTACGCTTACGCTGGACACAGAAAATCACATGAAATTAAAAATTTGCTTCCTTCCACTTTGGAATTAACTCTTAACAGGTTATTTAATCTAACTTCCCAAGCAAAATAAGAAACCTAAATTCCTAACTGGCAAAACAATCTTAATGCTGTGTACAGTACCCCACCATTTTTTAGAAAATGGCTGTAACAGACTAGTTTCAAATTAAAGTACCATTACAGAGAAGTATACAAATCAGATCTAAACTGGCTCGGTTGTTTAAGTAACTGGTAGAACTACTCTTACAAGAAATGTCTCAAGAAACCTGATCAGTAGAAGCTCAGCACAGATTTCTATACCATCGAAGGGACTTACAATTTTCAGTTACAGGAATCTGAAGACCTATTCTTAAACATGAATACTAGTTTAATGACTATTTCTGTAACCACACAGGAAAGAGAAGAGAACATTTAAGAGGCTGTGATTTGCATACACCTCTGAGGCCATGAACAGTGAACGTCATTACTACATGCAGGGAGTAAGTATGCTGAAAGAATACTTACAGACTTGATAGCAGGTGGTATTCTTTTCCAAAGATATCTTGCGTTATTCCTAATTTATACCCCCCACCAAAAAAAAGAACAACAACGATCAATGACAAAAATAATCATCTCAATTAACGTTTACATTTTCTAGGTTCCAATGCAAACATACAGAAGTATACTCTAAAATACTCTGCACAATGGAGTAGAATGTAATTTTACATGACTGTGTCCAAGGGAAATACAAGTGGCTTCCCAGATAAAAATACATGAAATATTTTTATCAAAAGTAACATTTTGCCATTTTTAGAGACTTTGTTATTAAAGACCCAGATCCTAAGTTACGGCAACAGCACACTACAAACACAAAAATTACGATAGAACAATTGCCCAAATAATGTATGCCAGCACAAACAGATCTGTGTACATCAAGGCTCTAGCATTCCCTGACAATGTGTGCAGTACACAAAGCATTCTCGTCATGGTCCCGCCTCCCCACGAGCACAGAGCCTCCAACTCTGTCAAGATGGGAGTTTTAAAGGGTTTGAAAACTTGAACAACAGCAAACATACGATGATACCAAAACCCGTCGCCGTAGAGCTGATTCCCACTCCTAGCAACCCTATAGGACAGAGTAGAACTGCCCCATAGAATTTCCAAGGAGCACCTAGTGGATGTGAACCACCACCCTTTTGGTTAGCAGCCACAGCACTTAACCACTACGCCACCAGGGCTTCCATATGATGATGGAATTACAAAAAATGAAACAGAATTTATACAAAATGTAATAAGAATCTTGGTATTTAGTTTTTAAAAAGGTATGAAAATAAAAAGATTTGGAAGAATTTAAACCAAAAAATTTACCAGTAATTATCTATGGGTCGCAGAACTACTGGCGACTCCTATTCGTTTGCACTGTTGTGTTCTCTGGTTTTTCTTCAATGAACATGAATAATTAAGAAACAAAACTCTCGAGAAATCTCATACACTTTGGTAATAAATTCTTCTTAGCTTTCTGAAATAATTCTCCCTTTCAACTTCTCCTGGACTAGTGATTAAACGTGAAGTTACATCAACAGGTGTCATAAAAAAGTTAAAAAGAAAAAAAAAGTCAACAGAAGTTAAGGAATATAGCACATAAACTTGACTGACACTGTAGTGTCTCGTAACAAACTGAAATATTTTTAGAAGGTACATGTAAAACATGTTAATTTAAAATAACTCAGCCTAACCATAATTCACTAAGTTGTGCTTCAATGTGAAATAGGTATATGAGGTATTACAATAAAAGACAGAGCTCATTGTGTCCAGGACTTAGTGTGCTGTAATTCCCTATAACTGTGGGGATGCTGCTGCTGTCTGTCTTAGGTAGCAGGGACGTACATGTCGTTATGGAGCAGATACAAAGCCAGGAGCTGACCATACACTGGGGCTGTGGCAATTCCTCCAGGAGCCTAGACAGCCAAACAAGAAAGAGAAAAACCTCATTTATTCTTATCTCTTATTTAACAAAATCGTATTTTGTTATCACAATGGATGTTTTATATCCCTATTATATACGTAAAAACAGCTTACAAAAGTATCAAACACTAAAACCACTGAACAAAGTTTAGATCTGTCATCAGTTGTGATTTATGTCCCTCTGGGCCTTAAGTTTCTTCATATACACGTGATATCTAATTGGGGTCCCTTTCCAAGTTTCCAAATAATAATTTAAATGACTTTGCTAGTATAAGACACAGACATTCTGAACTGATTCCTAAAGCATTTTGACTCTACCTATTATATCAAACATGTTGAATAGCTAAGTACCAGTAACTGTGTGAGGAACAGAAAAACATCACAGCTGAGTTACAAAGACCTTTCCTTCCCCCTTTAACTTCAGAAAACATTTATTAAGTGTTTTTTTATTAGTGACCTAGAGCTACTCGCTCTGGCTGTTCTCTCCTTTAGTTAACTATTTATACTAATGTTATGCTTTTAAGTGTCTATCTCAGAAAAGTCTAAAAAACTAACTTTAATAACAGCATAATATAACTTTCATTTGCCTTATTAAAGACAAAGCAGCAAGTTTACTTGGTAATAATAATATGAGAATAAGAGGGCTTTCTGAGTCAAGGAAAGGTTACACCTTTCTTGGTTTGCATGTGTAGATGGGTTCGTGTCTGCACAAATGTCTTTAATAAAACTCACATTTCCCCTCCCCCTGGACAATGAGAAAGAAAACAACATGTCTAGTCTAATAGTATAAAAATCATATTGGAGGGTGTCAGGAGCAAAGACGCATGTGTTTGTTTCATTTTTTGCCTCACAAGCTGAAGACAAGTAACAAGTTAAACAACAACAACAACTAAAGCGTTGTATAAGAAACACTACCCTACGCTCTGAAAAGCAGAAAAAGTAACTGGAACGAATTCTAAAAAGTATAATGTTTATTGTCCTCGCAACTGGATGCACATCACAAACCGTTAACAAAATACTTATAAGGAATGTAAAGGTTTTATTTGGGTACAAATGAATTGAAAATTGATTATAACATGGAAAAAGGGCAAAAATTGTACTGAAGTAAAAAAAAATTCAAAATACACCGTACCAGACAAACTTTTAAGTTCCCTTCTCCCATCGTTCCTCGCTTTGGATGGACCAAGCAAGCAATGTGGAGTCGGGGGATAGAAGAGTTTACAAGCCTAACAGAACGAACTCGGGTCAAACAAGAAAGGCCTCCTGCGGAGAGGGCGAGGGGCGTGACTGACAGGTGGCCAGAACAGCAGGCCGGAGAAGAGAGTGGGGCTGTGACCAAGTGTCCAGGCCGCGCTTCCCTAGGGAAGGCCGGGCCCCAATGCTCCGCGCCGGAGCCGGCCGCGGCGGCCCGGGCTCCACACGCCGAGCTCCCGCGCCCGTCCTCTGCCCCGCCAGCCCCAGGACCCGTTACCCCGGAGACTGGCTCCGCCCGGGCCCGCCCGCGACCCCGCGGCTTCTCTCAGCCCGACCCGAAGCGTACCTCTAGCTCCTGGTTCTCGCACTGATCCAGCAACTTTTTGAAACTAAAGGCACTTTCCGCCATCACCGCCACTGGCATCTTCCCCGCCGTTCCCGCCGCCACACCTTCCCGAAAGCCAGACCCCACACTGTCCCTAGGGGCGTCGCGCCGGCGATGACGTAAAAAGCCTCAGTCGCTAACGAGTACCCATAGGTACTTGCAGGCGCGCCGTAGATTTCGGAGCGTCCTCAGACGCAACTGCGCCGGCTTGCGGGGTGAGGGGACGGGGAAGGCTGTCGTAGCCGCTCTGGCCGGCCGTTCCATGCTTTGGAGGACCGGCCCCGGCCTCGCCGGAAGTCGGGGTCAGGAATCAAGGTCAAGTCCGGGAAGGGAGGAGTTTGGTGTCTGCGTGAGGACGCCTTATGAGACAACCCATACTCAGAAACTAATAAACTTGGAATAACAGAAATTCCTTTAGAAACAGTAAAACATTTATGTGTAATAAGAAAAGAATGAGCCCTGCTGTACGGGTCAATGCACTATCTAGCGTCCTGGACAACACCCTGCGCTTAGTAGGTGCTCAATTTATGTTTGTAAGTCTCAGACTTGTGTATTCAACCGCCTACTTGATACATACACTTTGAGGCCTAATAGGCACGCAGACTTAGGTTCAAACTGAGGCTGCGTAGGCCCGGCCCACTGTTATTGACTCCCCATTGCTAACCGCCACATTGTCTCATGATCTTGTTTTTCCCTTCGGTTCGAATCTCTACAAAAGGTTTAAGATTAACCAATGTTCTTCCTTGGAGGGTGGAAAACGTGATAATGGTCTAAGGATGAAAAACCGAACAAAGCGCCCATGTTGTGACAAGAAAACCCGGATGTCGCCAGATAACCCCCAAGAATACCAGTAAAAGATGAACTCATCTGAGACATGACCACCTCAAGGGAGAACTACTATCACAAACTTCTAAGACCCATAATCCTGTCCCTATGAAAGCTTTCAGCCGATCTCCAGTTGGGGAGACAGGTTTTTTGGAGGAATCTATTCCCCCTCTGTCTCCTATATATCGATCCATGATAAAACTCTTGCTACTCACTTCACCCCGTCTCAGAATTGGCTATTGCGGCAGGTGGCTCCAATCCGTGTGATTGCAGTAACAAAACCCTTACTTGAGTCTGTTTCCCAAACCCGCTTCTTTTGTGGCCCTCCTATCTCAGAAAATGGTCGCACTGTCCTTCATCCTGGCACCCCTCTGCACACCCCACATCCAAGACTCAGTGAATCCCCGCTGTTCTGCCTTCAGAATACATCCAGAACCAGAACCTTCTCCAGCGTGGGCCCCTGAAATAGGCCGGCTTCCACTCCTGCCTGCCTCCAGCCTGCTCTCTACACAGCAGCCAAAATGATTTTTCTGAAACATAAATCAATTCTTATTATTCTTCTTTTCAAAACCCTAAAATCCAAAGGTCTTTCCATTGCTTATGAAGCTGACACGATCCAAATCCCAGCTGCTCTCTGACTCTGGTCCAGGCCTTGGGCTCCTTAGTTTTCTCCATGATACTGACTGCCAGCAAACAACATGTTATGAATGTGTTTATTCACCACTAAACCCTAGGCAAGCCCCGCTCCCCCAGGGTAAGGCTTTGCTTTGTTCCCAGATGGCTTCACTAGTGAATTCTACCAAACATTTAAAGAAGGATTAACGCCAATTCTTCAAAAACCATTCCAAAAAATAGAAGGGGGAACACTTTACACTCATCTTATGAGGCTAGTATTACCCTAATACCAAAACCAGGCAAAGGCATCACAAGAAAAGAAAACTATGGACTAAAATCTCTTATGACTATAGATATAAATGTCCTCCACAAAACACAGGCAAATTACATCCAGCAACATACAAAACTGATTACAACCTATGGCCAAGCGAGGCTTAGCCCAGAAATGCAAGGTGGGTTTAACATTCAAAACAATCAATATGATACACCATATCAATAGAATAAAGTACCAAATCCACACATTCAGAAAAAGTGTGTGACAAAATCCAACACCCCTTCATGATAAAAAACACTCAGCAAACCAGAAATAGAAGGGAATTTCCTCAACCTGATGAAGGGCATCTGTGAAAAACTCACAGTTTACAACATACTTAATAGTAAAAGGTTGAATCCTGTGAGGCAATGAATCAATGAATTTGGCTTTTGTCCTTTGTTCCTGAGAGCTAATATTTGGAATTTCCTGAGTAAACTGAAGTACCTTTTGTTATCTAGGAGCCCTGGTGGTGGAGTGGTTAAAAGCTCTGCTGCTAACCCAAAAAAGTCTGCAGTTTGAATCCACCATCCACTCCCTGGAAACCCTACGGGGCAGTTCTATGATGTCCTATTGGGTGGCTATGAGTTAGAATTGACTTGATGGCAACAGGTTTGTTAGCTAAGCCTAAAGACTATACCAGAGGATTTATGTTAATGAATGGAGGGCTGGCCAAGCCAGAAGGACCACATCCTGACCTGACATCAGTTGACCTCAGGAAGAGAGGGAAGCATGATTCAATCATCATATGCAATGAGGCCCTTATCATGAATATACAGTGAGGCCTCTATCATGCATATGTAATGAAGCCAATAAAGGCTCTGGACACAGAAGCCTCAGGAGCTTCCTGGTTGGTGAAAGACATCAATACACGTGAGAGGGTAATGAGATTTTTTTGGAATATGGAAGCTCTTCATTGAGAATACCCCCAGACCTTGCCCCATATATCTCCTCATTATGCTGATCCTGATTCGCATCCTTTTGCTATAATAAATCTGTAACCATAAGTATAGTACTTTCTGTGAGTTCTATGAGTTGTTCCAGTGAATTATCAAACCCAAAGGAATAGTGGGAGCCAGAGGTGAAAGTGAGAAAGTCCAGGGGAGACCCTCAAGCTTGCAACTAACATCCCGAATAAGTAGTGGGAAAAACCCAAATTTGTGGCCAGTAGGTTAGAAGTAAGGGTGTCATGCAGACTCCCAAGCTTGTGGCTGGCGTCTGCCTATTTGGCAGTCTGAAGGATGGTGTCCTTTTAACTTGTGAGATCCGGCCAAACTTCGGATGGCTAGAGTCAGAACAAGAAAGTACTATGTGGGCAGAGGGTGTCAGAGATGTTTGAGAAGTGGGATAGTGAGGATTTGATTAATCCTCACATTTTGGGGATTAGATTTATGTAAATTTTTATGTATGAAAATGCTTTTCCGCTAAGATCAAGAACAAGACAAAGATATCCACTGTCCACTTCTATTCAACATTTCACTGGAGGTTCTAGCCAGGGCATATTGGATTTAGGGGTGCTGATGTGGCCAAGAACAGGATGATAGATTGCTCAGGTACTTCCATTGGACCACTGGCTGAGAGAGACATTTGTGTCCCTGATGAGTGAAATTTCAGTTTGAGCTCTTGGGGAAGGGATCCCTGTGGTTGGCCCTGTGGTGGATGTCACCATTTTGGAAAGCAAGGTAGCAATGCACAAAGAGAGCCATGACATAGTCTTAGCCTTGGACTTAGTGTTCTGCCTTCAGGAAGCTATCTTGATGAAATAATTACAAAAGAGGAAATAAGCTGCAGCTAAAACATGGTGCAAAATCATAAAGGACAATAGCTAAACCACTAAATGACCTAAATAGGTGAATGGTTAAACATGCCATGGCCCATGTCTCAGTCTCCTAGGACTGCTATAACAAAATGCTGCAAGTGGGTGGCTTTAAAGAACAGAAACGTATTGTTTCAGAGTTCTGGAGGCTAGAAGTCCAAGTCAGTGTTTCATCCATGTCAATTCCTTCTGGAAGCTTTGAGAGAGAAACAGTTGCATGCTGCTCTCCTTGTATCTGGAGGTGGTGGCAATCCGGGGAGTTCCTTTGCTGCTTCTATATGTGTCTGCTTCTGTCAACATATGCTATCTGTCTCCCTGTTGGGTGTGACTCTATCTCTAAGACTGCTCTTCTCTTTTATGAGACACCTCTGTGAAGGGTTTAGGATTAGAACCCACCCTATGCCAGTATGACTTCATTAATATTTATGAATGTATCAATAAATACTAGAAGGGAATATAGAAGTGAAAACTGTTGTAAGGTTTTGATGGTTAGGGTTGTGTGTCAACTTGGCTAGGCCATGATTCTCAGTGGTTCGGCAGCTATAATGCAATCACTGTCCATGACGTGATCTGCTGTGAGCGGCCAATCAATTGAAAGGGCAGTTTCCTTGGGGGTGTGGCCTACATTCAATATATATGGATGTTCTGGCAAAGCTTTTGCTATCTTGCTCCTACATTCAACTTGTTGTCCTCTAACCTCTGATTCTTGGGATGTGAGCCATCAGCCTGCTGTCTGACCTGCCAATTTGGGGGTTCATCAGACACTACCAACACATGAGTCAGGAGAAATCTCCAGCCTGACAGCTGACCCACAGAATTTGAGCCTTGCCAGCCTCCATAACTGCATGACCCATTTCCTTGAAATAAATCTCTCTCTCTGTCCATATATGTATGCATATGTATCTAATATGTGTGATATGCAGATGACACAACCTTGCTTGCTGAAAGTGAAGAGGACTTAAAGCACTTACCAGTGAAGATCAAAGACTACAGCCATAGGTATGGATTACACCTTAACATAAAGAAAAGTCTTCACTACTGGACCAATAAGCAACAGCATGATAAATGGACAAAATATTGAAATCATCAAGGATTTCATTTCACTCGGACCTACAATCAACGCCTATGGAAGCAGCAGTCAAGAAATCAAACAACATATTGCATTGGGAAAATCTACTGCAAAAGACCACTTTAAAGTGTTAAAAAGCAAAGATGTCACTTTGAGGATTAAGGTGTCCCTGATTCAAGGCATGATATTTTCAACCACCTCACATGCACGTGAAAGCTGGAAAATGAATAAGGAAGACTGATGAAGAGTTGATGCTTTTGAATTATGGTGTTGGCAAAGAATATTGACTATATCATGGGCTGCCAGAAGAATGAACAAATCTGTCTTGGAAGAGGTACAGCCTAAATGTTCGTTAGAAGCAACGATGGTGAGACTTCGTCTCACATTCTTTGGACATGTTATCAGGAGTCACCATTACTTGGAGAAGGAAGCTTGGTAAAGTAGAGGGTCAGCAAAAAAGAGGAAGACCCTCAAAGAGATAGACTGACATAGGTCAATCATAGCTACA